ACTCTCCCCCACACACTAGTCATGCTCAAATCTCTGCAATCTTCTAAGTGGCCAAACTGTTGAAGGGGCTAAGTGGGCAGAAAAAGTTCTAAATACCATGTTTTCTTCTGTAGAATATAATACTATTTGTCTAAGTCATTATCAAGTGTGGAGTTTGCCTTTCTCAGAGAAAAGAACAAAATCACTCATATTGTGGACAAATATTTTGAGAACCAATACACACACAAAAATACAGTATGTTTTTCTTGCCAAAAAATGAATAAATAACTACAAGGATCCCTTGGGACTACTAAAGTCTTCTCTCCCTAATTCGTGGATTTCTTCCTTGGATTTGGGGCATGACAGTTTGTAATCATTCATTCAGAGAGCAGGTGGTTCAGTCTACTCCTGAAAGCGAACTTTGCAGTGAAGCACATAGCATCAGGCAGAGTTGTTAAATTTCAATGTAAAGGTAGCATATGGTCATGCTTTAGCAGATACCTGAGTTCTAACCACAACTCCTTTGTAACCTTGGATAAAACACTGCCCCCACTACTCCAAAATGAGAGCTCTGGAGTTGATGAGCCCTGTTCATCTCCAATATGGGTTCTTACCGTTATAGGGGTTATATGTAGCATATATATAGCTATATGCTATAGCTACATACTATCCTCAGTGTCTTATTCAATAAAGAACTATTTTTGTTCTTTAGCAAAAGTCAAGTTAGAAACCCAAGAAATATCTGACAAAATGTCACAGTAAGAATTGAACTCTCTTTAAATAAGGAGTAGTGGTTGGTAGGGGGAAATAAACTGTAACTTTCAGCAGAGAAGTCTAACCTCAAGTGTAAATGGATTTCTCTAAGCCTAGCTAGAATCCAAAGATTGCATGCACTGAATTACTAGCACTTTCTATACTCCTGGCCAAAAATATTATTTTAGGACAGCACTTTAAAGCCTTCAAATGAAATTTATGAAATTTTCAGTGAACAATAATTTCAATTGTGAACAATGTGTTTGAAAAAATGATTTAAAAAGCAGAAATATAATCCATGAAAAAGAGATTTTTTTTATTGCAATGGAAATAACCCATTTGCATTACAAACACTTAAGGCAAATTAGGCAAATTTCAACACAAATAAGCTGAATGAGAACAGGGGGGTTTTTTCTTCCATTTTTTTCTGAATTTATTGTTTTCTTAATAGTAAATGACAACAGCAATAATTACTTAGTTTCTATTCTCTTATTTAGCTGTCATGAGCCATATGAGGTAGGTACTTTGATTAATCCTCTTTTACAGAAATATAAACTGAGGCTCAAAGGGGCTAGATAATATTTTATGTCATTCAGTTGTTGAATAACACATTCAGGAGTCTGAACCTATATGGTTTGCCTTTAGATATAAATCTTATTGCTTTTTTTTTAAAGCTCAAAACACCTTGTTGTGATGTTCATTTTATGTATTCAACAAATATCTACCATGGGCCAAGCACTCTCTGAGATGCTACCAAAATATCAGTGATAAAAACATGGACAAAACTACCTGCACTCATGCAGCTTAGATTTTATTAGAGCAAAGAATATGTTAAATATATAATTTTTTTTAAAAAAGGTGGTGTTATGTAAAAAAAAAATTAAAGCAGGGTTGAGAAATTAGGAGGAAAGGAGCAGGGTATAAAAATATTAAATAGGGTTTTAATAATATTGCCACCTAATAAAGGCAAGAATAGTATTTGTGGCACAGTGTTGTACATTAAAAGCATCACAATTTTGACCAAACTCCCTTTGGTGTATTTGACCTTCTATGGTTATGCTCTTTGCAAAAAGTCTGTTTTCCCCCACTAAACACTTTCCCTGGTGTTTAATGCAAGGTAAAAACAATCTTTAGGAATTTTACATTTGTAAATATCTGGATTACTATAAATTCCATGTCCTATATTATTTAAAGACAAATTAACTTGCCTCCAACATCATTTTATCACTATATTAAATATGTTCTCATCTTAAAACAGGACAGACTTTGTCAGGAATCTTCCTTTGATATCTCACCCTAAGGCTCTCCATGGAGGTGATTAAATTCTTCCTCCCATGATGTGCAATAACTCTTTAAGGAAAGACAAAGGGAAAAAAATGTTGCAAGAGCCCTCCTTTGGGACTTAGTTTACTCCCCTTCTGATTCTCCCTCCTCTTCTCAGGAAAGTAATAATACTTAGAATTTGACCAGTAAAAGGGCCAACAGTCTGTATCCTGACCCAAAGTGGGTTGCCTTGCTTAATCAATGAAATAGAGAATGTTTTTCATTGAGAAATCTGCCAGGAGGTGTAACCATGAGCCCTTCTGTCTTGATGTGCTGTCTTCACACATCTCAGTTCCTCTTCTCTAGTCCTGCCCACAACAGTGGATGGAAAATACTTTCCAAAGTGACATTCTTTTACATCCATAGGGAAAGGAATCTGTCCCCAGTGTCCCTCCCAAGGGAAATCTCATTCTGCTATTAAATGATCTATATGGAGAAGCTTATTTGAATGGTCATACAATGCTTGTAGGTGGAAGACTGCTCTTGCTATGTTGTTTTTATTGTTTCTGAAAAAAAGATCACAATAGGAAATACACATCTTTCAAATATTCTAAAAGTCTCTCAGGTTTTGTATTTACAAAGAGCCTTCTTAGATAAAATTTTATGCAGCATTTGTATGAATAGTTGGACATTCACTGACATGTTAATAGGTTTATATGGTTGATTATATTATTTATGAGTTTTATGATCCTTTCTTATATTTTTATCTTAATTAACATAAAATACCTTTATAAGTAGAAAAGCAAATTTATGTTTAAAATCTCTTTCACACAGGGCTTCAAGTGTATTTGCAATGTTTTATTTAAAAAATGAAGCAAATACGTCAAAATCTTCAGATGCGATAAGTTAGTCTCTATAATTTTCTATATGTTCATAATATTTTACAATAAATTTTAACTTAATTTTCTGAGTCTCATAGAACAAAAAATATTATATATGAAAATATTAAATCTCTCTCCCTTGAATATTCATTTAAAGGTAAGATAAAGTTAAATCCAAAAAAATTCTAAAATTCAGAATTTTTCCTTTGAAGAAAATCTGCTAAATTATAATTTGAGTATCAGTCATTTTACTACTGAACATGACACAATGGCAGCAATGAGCCTGCATTTTTTAAAAAAATCAGGAAAACTGATTGCTGATCTCCCAGCGTTACAAAAAGGAGAATCCCTGGTGTTTTTTTACTGGCAGGAAAATGTTAGCATTTTAATATTTGGCAAGCTGAATATTTTGACTCTGAAAAAATCCTTAAAGACACCACTATCATATTTCCATATGATATCATATTGAGTTTCCTGTATCATTATTGTTATTTGGTGAATTGTTGGATTTTTTTTTCTCCTGGAATAAAAATATTTCATATATGTCCTTTTGAACTATCTTTCTGGAAACTTTATTTTGCTTTAGAAAATAATTTTTAGGAAAACAAAGGTTGAAGACACTGTATATCAGGGATTTGAAAACCAAAAATGTAACCTGTTCATAATCAGTAATATTTAACAGATTATTTACTTTAAATTTGTCTGCCTTATATCAATTTTTCTTTGACTTATCACATCCATAAAATTGGGTTCTTTATATAGTTAGTGATTTCATCTTAAATTGATTTTTTTAAAAAAAAGAATATTTGTCTCATACTTGGTTTGAGTGCCAGCCATCCCTGTTGACTTGTAAAGACCATACCCAAAAGGCATTATTCCTAATCTATTGCACTCGCTTCTTGACATTTTGAAGAACTGTCCAAGAATCCTCACCCTAGGATCATTAAGCCTAAAATTAATTTCCAAGAATTCCTCCCTAGGTCCTGGGGACTTGGAGAAGCTTTTGGCTGGAAGACAGTTTTAGTGAAAAGGGTGGTAAGTTGCACCCTCATCCCAGGGATGAGGTCTGCCTGATTTCAGTGAAAGGCGAGGATGGCCCAGGTTACAAAGGGAGACAGGACCATGACTAAGGAGGTGTCCAGTTCCAGTCTTCTTCCTCTAAAATGTGACTTTTGGAGGGACGGAGAGGGGTGAAGTCATAGGTTCAAGGACTGAAGAAAAACCCAAAGTCTTCATTTGGGGTCTCTAAACTGCAAGACCTGGAAGGGCAGGTGCATGTGTTCTATGTTTCAGACTTGAAAAACATTTAATTTTGTTTATCAAGATACACAATGAAGCAAACATTGTTTGCTCAAGGCACTCCTGTGGCCAAGCTTTGCTCCTTGACACCCCCACCCCACCAGTCCTTAAAGCTCATGCTTGGGAGGGGGCCTCTGCAGGTGGCGCTGGGGGCGCTCCAGAAAGCTGGCGCTAGGACCTGGGCTGCGGCCACCGCTGCTGGGTGAGAGGCATCTGGATGCAGCTGAGCTCTTCCCCCCACTCCCTCCCCTACGCAGCGGAGCTCATTAACAGGTGGAATCGCACCCCAGCGCCTGAAATCCCTCCTGCCTCCATAGAAACAAATCCTTCAGACCCAGAGCACCATCTGGGCGGGCTCTGGGGTCCCCGCGTTCGACGTGCCCTGCTGTGAGGTCAGCACCCTGGGAATCGGGGCACCCAAGGGACACGCGGGAGAGAGCACAGCATGTGACGCCCCCTCCCCACCCCCACCCTTCTGTGCACCGGGCCGCTCTGTCCCTGTTCGGCCTGCTCCTGGCCTGGTTTCAGCTTCTATCCTGCCGTAAGACACTTGGACCCTTTCGCCAAAAGCTAGTTCAACCAAAGCACAGACGGGGAGGCCGCGTGCGCCCGTTCCAGAGAGCTTAATTTGGGGGGGGGGCTCCTTTATTCTGGAAGGAGGCACCAGCAGTCCCAGCCTCCCGGAGAAAGTGTGGCCAGGGAGCAGACCTCGCCCAGGAGGGATTTCTCAGGCCCCGCGGGGCTGTCGACCCTGCCCCAGCTTCGGCTGCCGGGTCGGAGAGTGCAAACACCGCGCCTCCGACCCCCGCCCGCCTGGCGCGTTACCTGTTGGCTGCCAGCCTAGACGCGATGTAGCCGCCCGGAATCTGGGTGATGATGTAGCCCCAAAAGAAGGAACCGTGGATCATGCCCACGGTTTCCGGGTCCCAGTTGAATTTGGCTTTCTATGCAAGTCGGAAAAAGAAAAGTGGAGAGAGAGAGAGAGTCGAGTCAGTGCTGAAGATTCACTTTCAGTGGTCAGGTCAAAGGGCCTCTACTCGCAGGGGCGCTTCGGGCATTTCGCGGGTGGTTGGGGTGGTTTAATTTTCGTTTCCTAACAAAATTGCCTCTTCTTATTGAAAAACCCGTGCTCGTTAACAACATTTATTGTGATTAATAGCGAGGCTGGGCGCCCAGGCTTTGCTCCCGACTACTGGCGGGCAGGTCGGATCACCCCAATGAACGAGGAATGCTCAGGGCCCCAGTCTTGGAAAATTGGACTCCCCGTGACGAAATGGGTTGAGCAGATGGAGGCTCCTGGCCGGGGTCCATTTAGTGGACGCAGTAGTGGAGTGACTTAGAGAATGGAATCCAGCCCTGGAGACCTAACTTAGGAAAATTCTGGGAAAGGAAGGTGGAGAGCTCGGAATGAAAGTTCCCAGTGCAGGGCTCGGAGCGCCTGGGAGAAAAGCTGTTCCCCGAAAATGGGATGGGGGTGGGCCTGGAAGGTTTGGAGTCTCCCGGCGACATTGGGGGAGTTAGTGGAGAGGGACGAGTTGCTCCGGGGTTGTAATTAGTACGGGCCACCGGGACGTCTGAAGGTCAAGGTCTAACTCCGCCCAGGCCATGCTGGGTGACTCCACAAGGTGAATGAATCTCAAAGTAAACCGGTCAAATACCTGCATCGGAATAGTGAGAGAATTTATCGCCGCTCGGAGAGCTGGAGACTCTTTTACTCCCTTCGAATGGAATGACATTTTGAAACCAAACGCATTTTGCAGGGTCCCCCGGACTCCCCAGGGGCCAGCGGCGCTCACCGCTGGCCACCCACAGAGCATTCCCTAATTGCTCCCCCTAACCCCTGCGTAGTTTGGTTTATGGCCCATCAGGTCCCTAAAACAGGAAGTCCGGGCCCAGGGGTTTCTGTGACCTTGACGTGACCCTCCCGTCTCCTGGTGACCCGAGACTCTCCTGCGACTGCGGCTCCTTTCTGAGCTTGTGAGGTGGACATCCAGACTCCCCTCCGCCAAACCTGCTGAGGGGAGCACTGCGGATTTGATTTCTGTGTTCGGTTTTGTTTCATTTTATTATTAGGACTGTTTTGGCGGGAATTGGAAGAAGTCAGGGGAAAGCAATACCTAAAAAGCTACTCTATTCCTTCGAGTAAAAGAAAAATATTTCGATTCTCATTTAGAGGGCATTATTAGTCGCCAGCTTATTGTATTAAAGTCACTCTTCACAAAAACCTAGGGAGGAGGCTATTTTCCTCTTTGCAGATGAAGAAGGGAAGGCCCAGGCAGCAGAGCGAAAAGAGAGCCGATACGATACTATTACTGCCGTCCATTATAGAACAGCAGAACTAGACAGGGGCTTTGGGGGATCCAGGCCTTCCTCTTTCAGTGGGGGGGAAATCGGGGCTCAAACCGGTGCTGTGGCTTTGCGAGGCCACCCGGCCGGCAAGCGGGAGCCAGGGCGGCCCAGCCGTTGCCCACCTCCTTGATGACCTTGCCCCCGCGGTGGATGGTGCTGTTGTTGACCATGTCCACGATGGCCACGCCCAGGTTGCAGCGGATGCCGAAGGAGATGCAGAAGCCCAGGCCGCTCATGACCGCGATGATGTAGCGGCGCGGCAGGCCGAAGCACGTGCAGTCGCACAGCGGCGCCTTCTTCTCAGGCACCTGCAGGGGCTTCCCATCTTCCGTCAGCTCGATGGTCTCCCCGGTCTCCTGCTTCTTCTCCAGCACCCTGCGCGGCAGAGCAGGGGTGGGGGGAGAGTCAAGGACGAGGAGGGCTCGGCACCCCCGATGCAGGCCCACTCTCCTGTACCTGGACTTGTCAGAGCTAAGGGGAGGCCACTGACCTCACCCCTCCCTCAGGGGTTAGGGGGGTGGGCGACACCAAGCTAGAAAACCTCTGTGCTTTCCAGCATCCTGCCCTTCCCTCTCCCCGCGGTGGCATCCCTTCAATACCTTTAGGCCTAAAACAGTAAGTCCCCGTGCTCTCGAGATCCACCCCTCAGCGCCTTGATTCACAAACACAGGCTGCTTGGGCCTAACTTTGTTGCGGGCTCTGCAGTTTGTTAGGGATGGGGTAACCCGAGCCTTCCCGGCACCTGTGTAAACACCTTCCCACCCCCGCAGTGCCTTACACCCGCGACTGCAGGTGTAATCCTGCCACCCCGCCTTCTAGGGCTGCTCCACTGCGGGCGGGCGGGCCCAGCCACAGCCCTGCGCCCGAGCTACCTTCTTTCAACCAAGTTGAAGCTTTCGGCGTTAAGGACGCCAGAATCCCGCCCCTCGGCCGAGCCCAGCCCCCCTACCCAAGGACTAAGGCCTCTCCAGGCCGGTGCCCACGCGGAGAAGGGCTGAGAACGCTCTGAGTGTCAAGCACTCTACTTCCCTTTCCTTGAGCCCTAGGGTGCCAATTCAATGCCTACTCCCCTCTTACACATTTCACTTTTTTTTTTTTTTTTTTGCATTTTACTCGAGTTGCAGACAAAGACCTCCGCAGCATATGGCCGACACCTAAGCTTCCTACTGCCAGAACATGAATAATTAATTATTCACAATCTTCCATCATTACTATCTCGGTTACAAACACTGGAAAATGTCACGGCCCATTTCCAAAGACGTAAAATCCGACCCCCAGATATACAAACGCGCCCCCAATAAACTTTCGTAAGACGTTCCACCCCAACGTGGAAGATCTCACTTAATTTTTTTTTCATAGTATTTCACAAGATTTCAACCGTCTGGTTCAATTCTTTTCGGGCTTTGGTCCCTGGGAGAAAGGGGAGCGGAGGAGGGGGACGCGGAGTGGAATTATGGAATGGTTTTATTAAAAGGTGGTAGTATTGTTATAGTCCACCACATATCCGCGAAATTTCTATTGACAAAAAAGAATGTGCAAGGTAACATCTCTGTAGCCCTTTGGGATTAACACTTTTGATATTTAAACATAGAACCTCTCCTCTACAATTTGCAGATATTTTTCCAATCCACTTTATAATTATTTTTATCTTTGCTCTTTTAAATGATATATGCATACACAATTGTTTTCACACACACGGGTGAAGCAAGCGAATTTTTTAGATCAATTTCAAAAAAAAATGCATAGCTTGGAATGTTGCTGTCAAGCAATTTAAGGCTACTGAAAAAGAATGACAGTAGCCAAATTCTATAATTCAACTGGGGAATAGGTCATAAAGGTGAGGTTAATGTTTATTCTTAAAATTCAGTCACAATTTTTGAAAACATTGCAATTTATACTGGGAGAAAAAAATCAGCCAATGTGATTTATTTATTCTGCATTGGTTTCATATGCTCAAATATGCAAAGTTGAACTCTGCATCTGAACTCCCCACCTGATGGCAGTTGAGCTGAGAAAGAATAGCCCTTCCCAAGGTAGCTGCGGGACTGCAGGGCCCTTGCGGTATCTACTGCGGCATAGGTACAGAACCTTGCCTACAGGAAGCCCACCAGAACTGAAGAGATTTGAAAAATTAGGAGGCGCATTGGTCCTTTTCTTTACATTTCTTATATATTTACAAAGACTCCAATTTCCCAAACGTAAAAATTAGTCCTCTCTTGGAATCGTTTATCCGTTTGTGTCTGTCTTCTTTTTAATTTTCCTTATATTAAGAAAAAATGTATTCATGGAACACATTTTAAATTATTAAAAGTTGTACAATGTATAGCATAATTGGCATAGTGACTACAGGAGGATAAAATATTTTTAAAAAATCATTTCTGGACCTTTCAAAATAATTTTGTTGGTTATTATTATGGTGGTTCTTACAAGCATTATGATATTTCCCATTCAAGAAATAGACTTCCAGGAGAGAGCAAATAATTAAAAACACACACACATATATATTTTCAGTTTCAGAGAGCAGAATTACTTCAACTTCAGCTCTCAATTATTGATTATATTTTGATTCCTTTTCATTCAGTACAGAAGAAATATTCCTCTAGAGGATTCTCTACTATGGTTTTGAAACAGAGATCTAATTTTGTTGTTGTTGTTATTACTCTTTGGAATTTCTTGGTTGATTTTTTTAGAGGGTTGCATTTTTTTTATTCATTTGTCTGCACCAAAAGGATTGAATTTGAGGGAAAAAAAAAAAAAGAAAGAAAGGGAAATTCTTTGAACAGGTGCTGGTGGTCATTTCTCAATTGTAAAGAGGATAAATCCTGGGTAGAAAAGAATGAAAATCTATCTGCAGGTACCAAAACAAAAATCTATCTTACACGCATACACACACACACACACACACACACACACACACAGCAGACAGGTTCATTTAGTGCAACATTCCTGCATTAGTAAACAGGTTTCCAGAGCAGCCCCTACTTTAGCAAAGGACAACAAAAAGACTTTCCGATCATATTACAATCTCTCTGAGCAAGCAGGGTTTGCGGGAATGGCCCTGCAGATTTTTTCATGCTGAGCCCCAGGTAAGCATAGGCTTGCTTTCTCTTACCTGTAGATCTGGCCGAGGGATTTTCCAGCTAAATTCTTTATCCCCTCTTTTCCTGGGGCCAAAATCCTTTGTTTTACTGACTCCATTCTTGCAAAGAGTGTTGTCCGCTCTTGCCAGATTTAAATAGTGATCGCTATGAAAGGCAAGGGTTGCGCATATTGTCTTAATCGCTCAAGGTAGTTGTGGGCTTTTTCTTCAGAGCAGAATGGTATTGGTGTGCCTCCAGCAAGAGTGCGAGTGAGAAAGGGGAGGGAGAGTGAGAATGAGAATACAACAGAATAGCTGCATGCAACCCACGGGTTTCCTAATAGGAGAGTTGGTAGACACAATCAGAAAGTCTCATTGGAAGGGGAGGATCCGGCGGCAAAGGGTGCACGCAGTGCCATGGTATTTGGGCGGATGCAGATGAGTGAGTCCTTGTCCTGGAAGTCGGTCCACGGAAAAACAGTGTAAATTCCCGGTTTAGAAGGCTTATTGCTTTCAAATCTGCTGGCTTTTAGACGAAGGGGACAGAATATCACAGAATCCTTGTGTAAGGGCAAAGTCAAAAGAATAGTACTTTTTAAAATGGTGTCTTTGCTGTAAGGAGCAGAACACATTCAAAACTCATGAGAGCATCTCAGGTGTCAGGTGAGCAATGCTGCTATTAGTTTTTCCTCCCTGCCCATAACCTCCTCCCATCACGCCGGCGTACTCTGCTCTGCGGTAGAATCGAATTAAGATGGAGAAGGCTTGCTGCTTTTTGAGGACGTGAGTAAATAACAGACACACAGTTCTGATTTGGGCAGCGCCAGGGAAGATTTTTTTTCACTAGGGCTGACAGCGCCGGTCTGGGCGGGTCTCTCGGCAGAATGGTTCAGCACCACGGACAGAGTAAGTTTCAGGAAAAGGGGAAGCTGCTTTTGGCTAGCAAGGTTGCCAACTTTCTAAGGGAGCTGGGCGGATCGCCCTGACCAAGGACCATACTGGGGCTCTTCAGGAACGGATGCTATGGAAACCATGTGGGAAGATGTCATCATCTCCAGAGTTTGCAGGGAGAATGGTGCAGTTACCTCTGCAAGGGAAGAAGACTTTATTAAAAATTGACAAGTTACTTCCAGTTTGCTACATTTTGCCCAGCATGCTAATGCCAGCTATGACAGTATTGCAGGGAAACAAGATTACAACACATTTCACTTATGTTTGTGGTATTCCGGGACACCTGGGCTCCCTTGAACATAAAATATATGTACACAAAATGCATAATTGTATTGTTCATGTGTTTGTTTTAACCCCTGATAGGAAAAGGATGGATGGGAGGGAGGGAGAGAGAGATAGAGATAGAGACAGATAGAGATGAGAGAGAGGGAGATGCAAGAAAAGAATAGCTGTAACCTCAATGCACTTGATTAAATAAAAGATGAGTTGTTTAATATAAATTCATTGGAATTGTAAGCTTCTTCACTTAACTAATTTACAGCACACTACTGAAATGCCAATACACTAATAAAATTTGTGACTATACCTTGTGCTTATCAACAAATTATAATTGATGTTCTTTAAGATTTATTTTAATTTGCATATATTTTATTCAAATATATTTATGTATATTTATTTTTACTTTGTAACACCTTCTCCTAAAGTGGAAATTCTGAGAGACATGCATGCATGAGAGACTTTCAGTTTTCCATGTATAGGTATAGCATCTGTGAATTTATTTCATTAAGCAAAGCAAGAAAACCATGCTATATTAATGTGAATTATTAATGCATTTCACATGAATCACAAACCTCTTAGATGCAATTCAGGCAACTTCTTACAAAACAGTTGGCCTTGAACCACATTCTCAAGGTCAAAACATTCAATGTCATTTAGTCTACAAGGGAAGTATATTTTACTTAGGGTTCCTGGTGCCCAATCTCAGAGGTGTGGATCTAAATAGAGAATCACGTAAGAATATTTTGTGAATAGTTCAAATGATATAACAGATATGTATTCACTGAATGAGTAGCAGAAAAAAATGTCAAAAGTAGCTATCTAACATTATTAAATTTGATAGTTGTTAAATTATATTCTGTTATGAACTACAATAAAGAAAGAATAATGGAGGAGTCCTTCTCTTATTTTGATAAATACATATTAAAACATATATCTTCAATAAAATAGTGAATTTGATTTTTCTAAAATTCTGGAATGCCTCAAAATAATATATATTTCCAAAGAAGATCAAGTATGAACAGGGGAATAAAAAACTCATTAAACTACCTCCTTGCAAACAAAAGATTCAAGTTACTTTATACATACAAGACTTTGACTCATCTAGTTGCTTTTCAAAATATCTATGATTTTCAAACTTCAATGAGTAAATTCATTAAATTTTATTTATTTAGAGATATCCATGATTTTGATATTCTGAAAAGTTATATGAAAATTGAACTTATAACACATATCTGTGAAGCTAAGGTAGTGATATAAAAATGGTTTTCCTAAGCACTCCTGCTTAAGTTTCACCACAAATGCCTAGAGATCTAAATCACCAGTAAATATGATAGCTAAATCTTCACTTTACATATATAAGGGAACACTAAGCAATACAAATTCAACATAAAAGCAAATTCAACAAAATTCAACACAAATTCAACAAAAATAATTATATTTACCTTTATGGAAATGAATGTCATCCAGCTCTCTCCTCCATTCTCTTGTCAACAGGATGAGTGCCTGAATCAGAATAACTTCTAATATTGATTCATTCATTCTAAAAATGTTCATTGAGTGCCAAGAATTACACTAGGTCTAGAAATGTCCCTGAAAGATCTCACAAGCTACATGGGAGATAGACATATAAATACAATTACAAATAATTATGGCTGAACTTAAACAAGTTAAATAATCCAGCCTGGAAATGAAAGTGTATAGAAAAGATTTTGAAAGGCAATGTTTCCTTGTATGTCTTAATACTTTAAAAGAAACTTAGTCCTTTAAAGACGATAGCAGCCCAGTGGAGTTTGGCAGGGAGGAGCAATGGTACTTGGAAAGTATCCCAGCTAGAGGGGACTATGAACAATAAAAGAAGAAGCTTTCACTGAATATAACTAATGTATGAAGTATATTACAATTTATGAATGCTTTTCACTTACATGATGATCCCATTTATTCCTCAAAATTATTCTTTAAACTAAAATAGTTTTGTTTCCATGTTATTGAGGAGGAAAATGAGATTTAAGAATGTCCTGAATTCATCCAGTCTGTGATGAGAAAACAGCAAGGTTAGTTTCTCACAGATTAAGATTATGTTAAAATACAGATTCTGATTCAATAGGTCTAGAATGGAGCCCAAGATTTCAGCAATTCTAACAAGTTTCCAGAACTGCTTGTCCAAGGATCACACTTTGAATATCAGCAGCCTAGAGGCTGGAATGTGAGATTAGCTGACCAGAGTTTGGGTCCTGATTCTGATGATTATCATCCCTGCAATTTTGAATCAATCATTTAACACTAACAAACTTCAGTTTCCTTATTGGCACAATTGAAGGCTTATCATGGGTGATTTCTATCATTCTTTCTACTTGTAAAATTCTAGACATTTCATTATTTTATTCATGACATAAGCATCTTTTTTTTTTGTTTCTCCGACCTGGAGATCTTCTCACTATATTTTAGCTAAATGGCTAATAATAAACTGAAAAAAAGCCACTAACATAGAAATATGCTCTTTTCTGAAAATTTCATTTTATGGACTTAAAGAGTAAACTCACTGTTTTACTCTGAGTAGATATTTAGTTTTATATGAAATTGTTTAAATAACTGTATTCATAGTCTTTTTTGAGGGGTACATAAGATATTACCCAACAGTAATGTAATAATAGGCTTGTATTTATTTATATTTCTGTGAAGAAATCATTTAAATGTCTTGCAAACGTTGCCCCCTGGTGGAAGGATATGGTAACATTTTAGAAACAATTGTCCTTAATTATGTAATTACACCTGCTGTTTTGTTTCTTTTTTTCCCTTCCTTTTGGGTATTTGTTAAATTAAATATATGTATAAAATATGATGTCACTTTTGTGAGCAACATATTTGCAATTTCCTGACCTGACCAACTACTAAATATGTTTAGAAATAAGTTGGTAGTCTGAGAATCCCTCAGTTAACCAAAAAGTTACTACTGGAAGGAAACCTCACTGTATTAAGATTTAGAAATGGTATGATAATCACATAGGAAAAATGGTTTAAAGTTTCTAATTCAACTAGAATAAATTGTGATAATTTTATATACATTTAGAAATAGTAATATAAATGTGATGCTTCCCTCCTTATCATTAAAAATGTATATTTTAAAGGCATCATACTTAAGGTTATTCAAAAATTATTTCTAGGGTATTTTCAAGGCAAATTTATTTCAGAAAATATCTGGAGCACATACTTCAAGGTGGTGATGTGAGCCTGAGAAGGGAGGATTGAGAAGGGAGGATTGCTGGAATCTAGGAATTGGAGGCCAGTGTGGACAAGACAGCCAGACCCTGCCTCAAAATGAAACAAAACAAAACAAATACAAAAACAAAAAGCCTCAAGATGACTGATTCTGAGGCTATTTTGAATGCCACATTTTCTGTTTATTATTTCAACAAATATTCACTCAGCAGATATTTGTACCTACTGTGTGCTAGGCCCTTGTTGGAGATATGGTAAACTAATGAACTCAGCACAGTTTTGTGGCTTTTTATATTATATTTAGAGACTGTATATTTCTAAAGAGAAAACTGTTTTTAAAAGCTTTCCTATAATATGGCTTTATTTGACATTGAATTCCTAAGTAAATGTTCACTTTAATAATTACACTTCTTTCAGGTTGAGGCTATACAAATAAGCTCTAGGATTCATCTGTGACTTTTTTCTTATCAAGGATTTTTAAGCGAACAATTTTTAGTCCAGCTTTATTTGATTTTACTTTGCAGTGTTAGCCTCAGAGACAATTTCCAAGACATTATCATTATACAATTTCTTGAGAGCCGGAGATAGAAGAAATAATTCAGTTTGTCCTAAGAACCACATCTGTGTTCTGCACTGCCATATTTAGTAGCCTAGTATAAAATATCTTCTGATATCTCTGTTATCTCTGTGACTGAAAACTGAAAGCAGGAGGTTTTAAATGAATGTACATTGTTACCATAAGTATATTTTAACTACCAAAAGTGTATGCATATGATCATATATGTAATGTGTCCTTTTTGTGTACATCTACTCTGCACTTATAATTTACCATAAGAAAAATGTGTACATCTTATTCGTCTTTTCTCTCTCTACTCAAGGAAAACGATTGTAATTCACTACACATCATTGTGCCTTGGGAAAATCGAAGATATAAGTGAAGGGAGACCAAATATTGTTCTTCCAATGCCAGAATAGTATTTCTAATTTTGAATTCCACACTATACATATAGAGTAGTATGGTAAATTATGGCAGAACTTTGAAAGCATTGGCCTTTTAAACTTTCAAGGAATATTTTCTTAAAGGGTGTAATTGTATGAGGGAGAATTGGGGAAAAATTAAGAATAGAAAAGAGATGTAACTCTCTATAAAGAGAATAAAAGAAATATGTACCTCAATATGAGGGAGGCCCAACTAGAGATACCCATAACTTATGGTATTTTAAAGACAAATAATCCATCATATTATTGGGACATGATAAAATCATACCGTATTGAAATTTCTCTCCCTCTAGGTCCTACATGGA